CTTCCTCTCTCCTCATTCTTCCTCTTGTTCATATAGACCACAAGCTCAATATGATGACCTAGTGTCCCCCATAGGTATAACAAAACAAAGGTAACTATTCATAGTTGAAATCAACCAATAGTTTCCTCCCCTTAATTGATACAAAAGTGCCACATGGTAATGGGTTCCATATATCCATACGTACTTTAATATGTGAAAAATAGGACTCATTCCCAACTAATGCAAAATCAATTATTAAAACTTGTTCCATCCATCCATGTTTTTCATTTATGAAAGCCTTAAAAAGATTACTTATTTATAAAATAACGAACAAAATAATTTTCTAATAACTACAAGAAAACATTTTAAGTTTTTTTTTTTAATTTCATCATTATTTTCATAATTATTCCTTCATTATTAATTAAATTATGTAGTTTTATGGATGAAATACATGTAAATTTGCTATAATTAGAAAATCCTTTATGTACGGAAACAAAGTTTATACTCTTAAGTAATTTTTATATCTTTTAATTAAACTAGGAAAAATCTTGCTATTTTTGTAAAAAAGAAATCACAAAAGATTATATTAAAATATAATTTTATAAGTTTAGGGACGGAACTAGGACGATTTTTAAATGAATTGTAACATATTGTCTATAGTTCATAAATGAAATTAATAATTTATTTAAAAACGAATCTGGCTATTCACCCTTAGCATAGACTATCCTATGTCAATTCCATCTATTTCAAAATTATGAACGTTCTCCTTAGTTAATTAAAAATGTTAATTCTAAAAAAATATAAATTATGTAATTACCGTTTTATAGAGTATAAACTGGTTTAAATGGAATACTATGTATTTTTTTCACTAAATTAATATGTTTTACATATAAAAAAAAGACAAGTTAATACATCTCCGTGAACATAAATTCAAACATTTTTTTTTTAAAGAATTTTTGCAATACATGATGTAATCAATGTAGTTGGTAAATGTTCAAGTGAAAAATATGAAGTAATAAATATAGTAAAGTAAATAGTCAAGTTTAAAATTAGTAAGCACTCAATTGTTAATTGCATGGAGAGACATTGCTAGTAAAATCTACATTGACCCAGAAGGAAATTCATATGAACATATTTTGTACAATGATGAGTTAATGCCAACATACTTCTTCTTTTTTAAATAAAATTAAAAAAATTTGCACTCTTTTTTTTTCATGGTTGGTTGAAACACTATATGGGTTTACCATATGCTCATTGAGGAGCTTTGGTTTATGGTGCTGTTATGGAGAATAAGGTGGAGCTCAGTTCGTTGTGCTATTATGAAGTGTACGTTGGAGTATAAACGAATAGATCTACAAAAAGGAGATGCTCTTGTTTCCAAATTTGCAGTCAAATTTCTGTAAGCTGGAGTAAATGAATAAACCATAGAATTTCAAGCAAATACAATAAAATCTAAATGTAGTAAGTCATTCACTTTTTTATAACTTAGTCACTACCATTTAAAAGTTCTTACAAACTCAGATTCATGTGATTGACAAATAAAAAATTTGATTTACAAATTGAACATGATGAATGTAAGTAAATTAAGCTAAAGGAGCATTAATGTAATTGAACTCTTAGGAAATTAGGGTAAAAGTGTGAATAGGAAAATTAAAAAATTTAGGGGTGGGCGGGAATCAGAACAGAGGAAAGCAGAGGGCAGAGGGGGGGAAGTGGGAGAAGGCGGAGGGCACAAACTCACCAAAAACTCTCCCCCTCTGCCTTGTCTGTCTCTCGTAAAAATACCATTTTACTTATCGGAAATTGAACAATCTGACACCCTCACGTCTCTTTCTTCAAACCCACATAAAAGTAACATGAATATTAACCCACCCCCCCCACATCATAAAATAACCAAACCACACACGCGCATATTCATTTTAACATTATATTATTATTATTATTATTATTATTATTATAGTAAAAACAATCGAACTTGAAAATTAAAAAAATAAAAATAAAAATAAAAAAGAAAGAAATTCCATCTCAACTTCTCTATTAATACCTCCCATATCTTCATCTACGGCAAAGAGGTATCCATCTATCCTTGAAGAGAAAGTTGGCATCCATACACATTGAGAGATAGTGAGAGCCTCTGGTAAGAGAGAAAAACAGTTCTCTTCATGAGAATATCTCTTTTTAAACTTCAAGATTGGCAGGCCACTCACTAATAACACGAATGAAACTAAGATTTTCTTGATCAATATCGTCGTCATCTTCATCTTCATCTTCATCTTCATCTTCATCTTGTCATCATGTGTAATCTGAATACCACCACTACCATGCCCGTATCAGACAATCCAGACCAAGCACCAGATACTCACTTGTTTTTCGATCTTCGCTCGCTACCCATCTACTCAAAACAAACAGAGGACCCAATAACGGACCCTGAAAAGCAAGACCCACATTGCACATCTTTCTCCTTCTCCGACATCATCAATGAGACCAAATCTCTGTTCAGCCTTGCTTTTCCTATAGCACTCGCCGCTCTCATTCTCTATTCTCGCTCTGCTGTTTCCATGCTCTTTCTTGGCCACCTCGGCGACCTACACTTGGCTGCCGGCTCTCTTGCTATTGCTTTCGCCAACATCACTGGCTATGCCGTCCTCTCCGGCCTGGCTTTAGGGATGGAGCCTCTCTGCTCACAGGCCTTCGGTGCTCGAAGACCTAAGCTCCTCTCCTTAACACTTCACCGTTCCGTGATTTTCCTCTTGGTCTCTTCCATACCCATTTCCCTTCTCTGGCTCAACATGTCCAAAATCATGGTGTATCTTCACCAGGATCCTCACATAACAGGTTTGGCTCACACTTACCTTCTCTTCTCTCTCCCTGAACTTTTGACCAACTCTTTTGTTCACCCAATCCGCATTTACCTTCGCGCACAAGGCATCACTCTCCCCCTCACTCTAGCATCCCTCGCTGGCAGCATCCTCCATTTTCCTATTAACCTCTTTCTCGTCTCTCATCTCCAGCTAGGCTTAGCCGGCGTCGCTGCAGCAAGCGCAGCCTCCAACTGCTTCGTCCTCCTTTCCCTCGTGTCCTACATCTGGGCATCCGGCTTGTACAAGCCCACGTGGATAAGGCCTAGCCTAGACTCTCTCACCGGCTGGAAGCCGCTCCTTCGGTTGGCTGCCCCAAGCTGCGTGTCTGTATGTCTGGAGTGGTGGTGGTACGAGATCATGATCGTGCTTTGCGGCCTCTTGGTGGAGCCCAAGTCAACGGTCGCATCAATGGGCGTCCTGATCCAAACGACGTCGTTGATTTACGTATTCCCGTCGTCGCTCGGGTTCGCCGTCTCCACTCGGGTGGGCAACGAGCTCGGAGCCAACCGTCCCCAAAAAGCGAAACAATCGGCGATGGTGGCGATACTGGCGGCTCTGATGATGGGGTTATCAGCCATGATATTCGCATCCGGGATGAGGGATAGGTGGGGCCGGATGTTCACCAACGAAGCGGAGATCCTACGGCTGACATCGGTAGCGTTGCCGATCATAGGGTTATGCGAACTCGGGAACTGCCCACAAACCGTAGGCTGCGGTGTACTGAGGGGGAGTGCACGGCCATCGACCGCGGCTAACGTGAACCTCGGGGCATTTTATCTGGTGGGCATGCCGGTAGCGATTGGGCTCGGGTTCTGGGTCGGGTTCGGGTTCCGTGGGTTATGGTTGGGCCTGCTGGCAGCCCAGGTGAGCTGCGCTGGGCTGATGCTGTATGTGGTAGGGTCCACCGACTGGGAATTCGAAGCTAAGAGAGCCCAGATGCTTACGTGTGGCGCGAATGTAGATATCGGCGTATGTAGTGACGATTATAAAGGCGGGGAAGATGATGATCAAAAGCAACCGTTGATTAATGTTATGGTCAATTCTTCTTGATGAATAAAAACATTGACTATATTGTTTATTTATTTAATTATTTATATTTGTGTTTTGAGGATGAGAGGTAGTGAATATTATTATTGTTTGTTGTCATTTCAAATTTTATTTTCTCCCCGTTTCTCAGAAATGGTGAATTGGGTAAAAATTAGGCAGGAATTTGGTTGACTGTGTTTGAAGAAAACAAGAAAACAAAATTTTTTTTTTCTTAAAAGTAATTTGGTAACAAGTAAATGTATAATACGAGAAGGAACTGAGAGTAATTGCTACATTTGATGTGTTGATGATTAACTGGGCAGCGATTGGTGCTTTAATAAATATAAAGAAATAATGAAAAGCGATGAAGATGTTATACGTATATCAGAGAAGAGTAAAAGAAATGAAAATTTAGAAAGGGGTAAGTGTCTCAAAAATACAGACATATATGTTTGATGTCTGGTTTTGTTGGGTTTTAGAATCAACAACTGACACATGTCAGTCTACTCATTGGGAAAATGGGTGTAAAAATTTTTCTCTTAAAAAAAAAAAAATCAGATTGGGGTGGGGAGGAGTTACTCATCTCAATTGGCTACCTGTCCTTTCATTATCCGAAAGCTATTGAACACGGGACTTGTTTTTCACACAAAAACAAAGGAGTGTAATTTTCATTCACCACCTTTTTCTCTTTTGCCTCATTCATTCAATTACCTCAAAAATCATGCGATACAATTTGATTTGATTCTCAGAAATATCTTGCTCGTCATCTGATCAACTCCCAATGCTTCAAGTGATGAAAGATAAGTAACCCACTTAAGATTTGTTATTTTTGTTCAGACAGTTGTAAACTAAGCTGTGATACAAATGAATTAAATCAAGCGTTACTATATATATATATATATATACATACATACATACATACATCTTGTATAGGAACAAAAAAGAGGTCCCGTGGTAATGCCCCTTTTACAATCATGATATTGTATATATGAGTGTGTGTGTGTGTGTACGTATATATGTATGTATATGGAGATGAATATTTCCAAAAGCATGCAATGCAACTATACTCAATCACGTCCGTATATATATAATATAAAAGGAGGGGAGAGGCTGAGAAAGAAACAAATTAACCCGCTATAATTCGAAGAGAAAAGAGGGCGGTCTGTTCGGAGCGAGAAGTGAAA